TATAAGGTTTTTACAAGTTATAAGCTTTTACAAGCTCATTATAAGGTTCTACACAGTTATCGATACCTTATAAAACCTTAAAAGTACCTTCTAAAACCTTTTAAAATACATTATAAAACCTTACAAAACACTTGTAAATACCTTGTAAAAAACCTTTAAAATACCTTGTAAATTTTTCCCGCCAAAAATTTTCCCGCCAAAAAAATTTCGCAAAAAAAATTGCGGAATCACTTTTCCCGCAAAAAAATTTTTTTGGCGGGAAAATTTTTTGGCGGGAAAATTTTTATGGGAAAATTTTACAAGGTTTTTTAAAGGTTTTTACAAGTGTTTTGGCGGGAAAATTGCGGGATCACTTTTCCCGCCAAAAAATATTTTATATTTTGTGGACCTAATTTTGTTTCAAATAAGGGTAAAATGGTCATTAAAAATTAAAAGAGGGCAAACTTAAAAATGGACTCTCAAAGGGGGCATTTTTGAAAAGGGGTATTGAAAAAGGGGTATTTTTAACAATTTCTCATGATATAATGATATATTTATTTGTAGAAATAGAATCATATAAAGATGAGAGGTGTATAATGATTAATAACAAATTAATATGTTAAGTTAGATATCAAATCTTATATGTTCATTTTGATTGGTCATTCTTTTAAAAGAAATTAATAATAGATTTTCGTTTTTATAATTAAATTAAATTAATTAAAATAGTATTTGACTTGTTTATCCTTAATGAGTTGAAGTAATTTACTCTATAAAATTTTATTTTTAATGACATTCTTAAGTAAATTCGTACAAAGGGAAAAGTTAATTATGGGTAATTGTAAATTGTACTCCCCAAATAATAGTATAAGATTATTTCGATAACACCACTAATTTTCTCTTATAAGTACAACAACTAGTATTTTTGATTTTCTTGAACACTTATACAGTTATACTCGTAAACGAGTACCTCTTAAGCTCTGTTTTCTTAATTCTCTTTATAGAGGGCACGTATTCCAAAATTTAGAAAGTAAGATTACACGATTTAATAAGAAGCAAGCATCTCATCCATCACTCATAATGAAGTTTGAAATTGTACTAAGGTAATCTTTCCCTTATAGTGAATTTCCCATATTATATTGTGCATTAGGATCCTTGTAAGTCATGATCCAATTCACTCTATTGAGCCATATTTGTTACAAGGTGTATTAATAAAGTGATTTTAACTTCGAGCATATACAAAAATATACATATTTGATAACTGTGGTCTAAAGTCTAAAACTTAGTTGGGCCTTTATACTTTATAGCAGTGGGCCAGTGGCTGATAAGATCATAATCATCTTACATTTATACGGCGACTCAACAAGTACATCCACCAACCTTGCATTATTAAAGAAGATTAAGTTTTATGGGCTTCCAACTCAAAACCAATTGACAATGAGTGGATTGCCCCAATTTTTTTATATACTACTCAAGTCCCTTCCCATCTTTTCAATGTGAAATCTTTCTCAACACGCCCCCTCGAGATAATGGCTCTTCTAGCCATTAATCTCGACAGAATCCATCACGTCCCATCGAGATAATGCTTTTCTAGTTATCTCGACAGAATTGAGCCTTCCTTTGGACTATCAATTAGTGTTGGTGATCAGACCACTTTCTGGGCCGGATTAATGGGTCAGCGTATGGATCGGACTCTGATACCATGTCAAAATCCTGTAGACGTTCGTAAAAGGTTTCTCGTTCGATTTCAACAGAAGGCATTGCCTTTATATACAGAGTATAGAACACAAGAATAAACCTAAATACATATGTGATGGGCTAAGTAGTTCACGGCAGCCCATATAGGCCCAATACAGAACACAAAAGGAAAGAAAAGAAGAAAAAATGACACAAGTTGAAAGATTGTTATTTTTCCTTCATTTAATGGGAAAGCTTCATATTGTTCTGAAGGCTATGGACGACTTCACCGAATTGTCTCAGTCAACACGCAAATGCAAAGAGGACCGATAACATATAATATATGGTCCATGTTTAATCATGACACCGACAAAAGATTAATGATGATACAATTGATCTCCAATTGAAAATCTCCACTTTCTTCATTTCTTGCGGGTAATTATAACTAAGCCTTCTTCAATTTCATAGTGTCTAATATTCACATGACACACCTTTTATTCATTGATACAAAAACAAAACAAAGAGGTTTACCCTCAAAATAGATACATTGCATTTTAGATACCAGATCCAGATACACATAAACTTATTGTAGAGTAAAACTACTTTGAAGTTAAAGACTTTTAATAAAACTGAAAATAATGTCCTCCTTAGAAAAGTTACCACACTCACTTGCAAAATGATTGGCGGGGGTCGGAGGAATTAAATAACCTAATATAAAAAGTCTTTTGAAAATATTTGGTCAATTATATGACAATGGAAATACGAAATAGTCACTTGCGTGCCATTAGACATCTTCAATTGGGTTTGGTCGTCACTCGGCATTGTAATTAAAGATAAAAATGATATCGGCGACTTGAATTATTTCTTCTTTATTTTACCCTACTCTAAATTATTATTATTATTATTTTGTTAATTTTAAATTATTTTCTTAGTTATAAATCATAATATTTACACCAAATTTTCACAAACTGTAATATTCGTTATACTTTAATTTGAACAGACTTTTTGAACGCAAACATTCACTAGATCTCCCACAAAATAAAACTGAATTAAAATAAATTAAGAGAGATTTATAAACATTCAAGAAACTTTAATTTTTAGAGTCAGGTATTGAGAATTTTCTTTAATGTATGGATTTATTATTTTGTAAAACTTATCATTCATAATTTCATATGGATATTTCATGGATAAATTCATAGATTTTTAAATATTCAAGAAAAAGAGACTTAATTTCTTTCTAGAAAAAAACTACTTAGTTTTATTACTTATTTTTATAGCGAAGTATTTTTTGTCTAAGGTATATTGACTGCTCAGATGAAAGTCTTTTCAAATGCAAAACAATGAGTGGATTAAAAAAATTCAGAGAGTCATAAAACTTTAAAATGAAAATTTTCTATTAGTGTAATTATTTATATAAAATATAGAAATACTTAACAAAAGCAACGACTAGTTCAAAAAGAGCTCATAGTAATAATTATCATTGTAGAATTTATAAGTCCATGAAAGTGCTAAATTTTTAAAAATAAAGTCTTTTTTCGTAAAAAATGATGGAATATACATGTGTAGTTTCTCATATTTCAGCACACCAAACATTATCCATTAGAAGGACTTGGCAAAAGTCAATCAAATATTAAGTAAATTGTGATGGCTACTTTCAAGATAAAAAAAAGATGTGACTTATTTTATGATTGTTGATGTTCGGACGAGTTCAAAAATAATGGAATTAATGTCCTTATAAATACAAGCATCATTCTTCGTTTATGTTACAAAACCGTAAACACATTGTTTTCTCTGTCTTCCTTTCTTTCCATGGAAGCTCAACACCTTCATGCCAAGCCTCATGCTGAAGGAGAATGGTCCACAGGCTTCTGTGATTGCTTCTCTGACTGCAAAAACTGTAATCACTTTTTCACAATTACTTATATTAATATTTGTATGTGTAAAAAGCTGAAAACAGGACATTTTATGCCTATAAAAATCTGAAAACAAGTAATTTTTATAGTGTTAGATATCAATTTAGACTCAATTTATGAAAAAATCAATTAACAAAAGTACTTACTATAAATCATGCAAAAATTAATGGACAGGTTGTATCACATTCTGGTGTCCATGTATAACATTTGGCCAAATCGCTGACATTGTAGATCGAGGAGCCACGAGTAAGTTACTTCCAATACACGATGTTGCTTTTGCCAAATTTGGCGGCTAATGATAATTAATTGTTGGTACAAAAAAATTCAGCGTGTGGTACGGCTGGAGCTCTATACGCATTGATAACTGCAGTAACTGGTTGTGGGTGTATCTACTCGTGCTTCTATCGTCAAAAGATGAGAGCTCAATACAATATTAGAGGTGATGATTGTGGAGATTGCCTTAAACATTTCTGCTGTGAACTTTGTGCCTTGACCCAACAATACCGTGAACTCAAGCACCGCGGTTTCGATATGAATCTTGGTAATTTATTTCTTCGTTATGCGTTTTTTTTTTCTTTTCATTTTGTTGTTAATTAATTTGTTTTAGTGTTTTCTTAAAACATTGTCATTCGTTAAAAATTGATGTGGTATTTTAGGATGGGCGGGAAACATGGAGAGGCAACAGAACCAAGGAGGTGTGGTAATGGGTGCTCCAGCCTTCCAAGGTGGCATGACCCGCTAAGATTTTTACTTTTTATGTCAATCATAATTTGTCATATGTGTAATAAAAAACGAGGTTTAATCCTCTGTTTATGTTGTATAATATGCTTGTTGTGAAAGTTTGAACATGAGTGTTTTTCTTCAATGTAATTTAACTGTATGGTTACAAGAATTAAATTACAACGTCGAGAAAATGATACCAAAACAATACTCTCTCTCTCCCAAAAGGTAATCTTTTCAATTTTTATGCATTTTTAATATAGTTATTGTTGATTAAATGTAAATTATAAAAAATGAAGACTATTGGTTTAAAGTTATAAAATTGTTAATTATAAAAATAATACATTTATAGTTAATTATTTAAATAATATGTGTAATAAAGCTTAAACTTTGAAGTAAATAGACTATTTAAAATAGTAATCCTTGAGAATATTTTTTTTGGTAGGCGTAATCCTTGAGAATATTAGTATATAAGATATGTGCCTCGTATGTATCGGACAAAAATATATGGATTTAAATTAGGAGGCTTTTGCTTATCTTTTACACATAGCACAATAAACTATTAGTTCTATTTTAAAGCATAACACAACCCTATTTGGACCAAATTGGAAACATTAATTGCATCTAATTAACTGCAAGAAGAAAAAATGAAAAATAAGAGACGAGACTATATATATGTGAACATATGTGAATATAAATACTTTTTTTATAGATGTTAGATTATTTCTTTGCATTCGTCTTTCCATGAACATTAATTGGAAGACTAGGGGAAAACGGTCTATTTTCCCATGAGAAGTATGCGTACCACGCCAGATAGAGCCCATTCTTTGATCTCGGTTTATATGTCCATGAAACAAAAGTTAAATACCTATTTCCCCACAAAATGAAAGTTCAATAGCTAAATCTCCATGAATCGTGGTTACGTCGGTTTGGTGCATAACCCGAGACGAAACCATAAACCCGACCTAATTCTAATACCCGACCCAATCCCAAACGCACCATAAATCAATCACCCAATTTCTTTTTCTTCTTCACTGAACCATTTTAATGGCTTCACCAACTGTACGTATAGATCCAATCAAACAATATAACATATATGACGATTGCTCATTCTAATCCTCTAAATAAATCACAAAACCCACCAAGAAATTGTGTCTTTGGCTTCGATTCCAAGAGTGGAATTGAGCAATTTCAATTCAATTTGTTGAACTTGATTGAAAAATTGAGCAATTTCAATTCAATTCAATTCCTTTATTTTTAGAGCAATTTTTAGAAAAATTGAGCAATTTCTTCCTCTTTTCTCAAGCTCTTGACGAAGCTCTGAAACCCATGTCGTGAAGTTGAATCGTCTTGGCGATTTTCTCATCCGGTTTCTATGTCCTAACAATTTTTGACAACAATTATGGGATTTGATGATATGTGAAAGCATATCCACTAGTGTCAAGCATATCCACTAGTATCAAGGAAATATAAAGGATTGAACTTGCGTAATGCTTCCCACGCTAAGCAAACCGCATCTATCAACGACGCGACGAGGTAAGCTATCAGAAGAAGAGTCATGATCTCCGGTGAAGATGACACAGTCAAGATCGGGAGTTTCCTCTTGGCTGGCTTTGACTGCGCATCAGAGCACTCTCTCGCCACTGCCACCGTCGTTCGTGTACGGATGGAAGAATCCCACCGCACGTTTTTTATTGTTTCTTGCATTGATCACGGAAAGTGATAAACTCGAAGATATGGCGAAGATGATCGTGAGAAGGGTACATAGAAGAATGAAGCAGATCGCCAAATAAGCAAGGAGATAACCCCTAAAGACTTTGCATTCGATCTACGATTGCAATCGAATCTCAAATCTACGATTGCTCATTTTGATTGGCTTGGGTTTGGTTGTAATTGAAATCGGGTATGGGTCATGGTTATTTGCTGTGTAATCGGGTTTAATTTGGTTTATAGGTGATTTAATTTTGTTTTGTAAACAGTGAACCGACTAAAACCAAGATATGTGGGGATATAGGTTTCGAACTATTATTTCGGAGATATATAGGTTTCGAACTTTCGATTCATGGAGATACAGAATGAGAAGTTTTGTTTTTGGGATCTCTAGCACGAGATTAAAGTTTGGGCTCTATCTGGTATGATATCATACTTCTCGTGGGGAAATAGACCGTTTTAACGAAGACTAGTGTAAACTTAAAACAAGAAAGCAATATCGAGATAGTAACAGCTCTGCTTCCACGAAACTACCGTGAAAACTACAGATTAGAGAGTTTACCTTCTTCTTCTTTTTTATCTATAACAAAAAAAATAGTAATTCAAGGATAGGTAGGGGCCTGGTGAGATTAACAATCCCTTGATTTAATTAAAAAATATTCGGTCAACGGTTTCATTTAGCTGAGCTTGTAAATGCCAAATTGAAATCGTCTACTTCAATTTGTTTATTTTTGTCTGAAAACTTCTAAATGTATTTAGCCAACCCCATTTGTCGCTTATACGATACACCTTTCACTAGTTCTCCTTCCCAAAGTTTAATTAGTTCAATTCAGTTTCGAATTCAATTCAATTTGGTTGGATCAAAAGTGCCCACTTTAAACCTTGGGCTTATTATATCGGGCTCGAAGCTAGAAATATGTGTCTTGGTTGGGCTTTGCATTATAGGTTTAGGTTTGATATCCTTTATTATATATATATATATATATTTTTTTTTTGGCAAAGATATCCTTTATTATATAAAACAGAAGTAAATCGGCAATTTTGGTTGTGACATGTGTCATCTTCAATCTATTTATTATTCTCTCCGTTTCACAAAGAGTGTCGTTTTGTATTTTCAATGCAAAATTTTGAGTAAAAATCTAATTTTAACCTTATTTCTTTAATGTATTAATAAGAGAAATAATTTTGTTTAGTGTATTGATAAAGGGTATAATAGAAATTTTAATAGTTTTCTTAATATGTGTATAAAAATGTAGAATGACACTCTTTGTGAAACAGAGGGAGTGTTTTAGTTGTTTTCTTTTTCCTTTTTTTCTAACCATTACTCTTTCTTTACAAAAAAAAATTCATAATTAGTTTCTATTTGTTCTCTTATTTTTTATTCAGTTTTCCTTTTGCTTTACCCCTTTCTCAAAAATCAAATTTTTTATTTAGAAAAAACACCACGATCTCTTCTTGGCAGGGAGAAAAAAAAAACATGAAAATGTCGGTGCATAGCACAGGCCAAAATACTAGTTACGAATATAAACGGTGGATATTTCTTTCATTCCGTTGGAATAATCAACGACGTATATGTATATGGGAAAAGGAGATTTTACCTAAATATCTTCTTTCTCTAAAAATTGGATGAAAAATTAAGAATAAAATAGTAATATTGAAATTCTTTTGCCTGACGTTTTAGACGTGGAAAATTGCATGGGTTTAAGGGATGGTTAATACTTAATACTATAGGATATATACGTTAACTGGTTTAGATGCATTGGTGACTTGGTGTTGTAATTACGGACATCCGCTGCAACTGATCCGCTGTCGTCATTTACATCATTGCAATGAGAGATATGATAGTCAAGATCAAATATAGATAAATTACATATTATATGATGATAAAATAAAAGTTTTTATTGAGTAAGTTCTGCAATGCCAAGATAAAACAGAGATAAGTGATTTATTATATTTTGTTTTGAAACAAGCTAGGTTCTAATGATGTAATATAATGTCCCTATAAATATAAGTTTTTATAGGGACTACTATTAGTCTATATTAGGTAATTTTACAAGTTTTTGACAACATGTATATATAAGAAGACGAATGATAAATCACAAATATTTTTTGTATTTGTTTTTGTTTTTGGCTATATTGAATCATTGAGAGTAAGTTGACAAAGTTAAACGCTATTATAGCTGAGATAAATTTTACAAATTCCCCTTGTTAAATTTGGTTCGGTCGTGAGTCGTGACTGTGGCCGACGAGGATTATTTTAAGTTTTGAGTAGCACACCGAACCGAGTTATTTTGCATCTGATTAAGGTGTCAAAATAAAGAATAATGGGCCCAAATGGTCGAACTTTTGTTTATTCCAATAATTAAATGTACATTAACGATAAATTAAATATTTTCAAAAAAAAAACAAATTAAATAATTTCATATGTCTAGAAAGTTGATCATTCACATTTCACACTTTCACAGAGACCGGACAAAACGTGGATCGCGTTTTTTCTTACCGTAAAGCATAGCAGATGACTTTTTTTCTTTGTACCGACAAAGCGGATGACACATAAAGACGTGGAACATCATAGTTTTCCACAATTGATAATAATAAAATCGATGTTAACTTCAAAGACTAGTACTATATTTTATCTTCAGATTGAATTAAAATTACGTGGGAAAATACTAATCAATATTATTGGCTGATGATGACACTTTAAAGTAGTTGGAAAACTCTTGTTTACCAATGTGAACAAAGTTTTCCAAAAGATAAAGGGATGATGACTCAGCAACTCCCTTACCATACCACGTGTAAACCCATCACCATCATCAATGATGTCACCAGCATGTTCTTTATGTCTCCACCACCGTGTGCCTACTAGCCTAATTTTTCTCTTTTGGGTTAAAACCAAACGGTCGAAACCTAATTAGTTGATATAATCTCTCCCTATACTTAACTAAAAATAGTATTTTTAAAGATATATTACTAGATAGCTGTCGTTTTTTTTTTAATTATACCTTATAAGTTGAAATTCATAATATTAACAAATATATGCAGTTAAGAAAATAGAAATAAATTGTATCATATAGTTTTGTGAAAATGATTTTATGAATATAATTTTTCTTTATTAGTTTCATACTTTCATTTAGATCGATCATAGATTCATTGTCAAAACAGATAGGAAGATGAGGAGAGATACAAACAGAGGAAACATTATTGCACAACTTTTTGTTTGCGTACTCTTTGCTTTGATCTTCTTTCTCCCATCCTAAGCAGTTGCCGATACATCATGACAATTACAAAACGTTTTTTTTGGTAAACAAGTTCACATGATGGTGTCTAGCTACACACACCTAAAATCTAAAATCTAAAATATTTTTGTGATCTGTACATACTTTTCCTTTAGTTTGTAGACTCTTTATGGAAAGGCGTGAGATGTTATTTACAAAGTGATTAAGAACACATCTGATTGTTTTTTCAGCAGATAGAGATCAGTGGAATGGTCTTGTCTTCTTCCACAGGCTTCAATGATGGTGAAGAAAGCCTTTGGACCAAAACATCTAAAGCTTCCTTCATCCACCAATCTCTACAAGTTTCTCTTGCTTCATCCACTTTCATCCAAATTCTTCGACGAAGATGTTGTTCAGGCCAAAGCTCAAGCTCTTCTTTCACAAGCAATGGGAACATTAATCCTTCATAGACTGTTCCTCTGCTTTTGCTTAAGAAATCCCATTTTCCAAGTTGTTTCTGCACCAAATATCAAACAAACATTTACACATTTAGGAGAACGATCTAAAGTAAAACAATCTTAAAACATAATCAGGTGATCAGTTTCAAATTTACCTCAACGTTTCCAACAACTCCAGCTTCTTCTAGAGATTCTCTTGATGCAGCTTCTTCTATAGTTTCATCAAGCTCCCAACCACCCTGACATTATTAAAATCAATTACAGAGTAAATTAACTAAAACCTAGAAGACTTATAAACAAATAGTTAGGATTACTTTTTTGTTTTAATTAATCAAAGTTAGTACCTTTGGGAACATCAGAGCGTGACCCTTCTGTGATGATATAACAAGAACTTCAAATTCGTCAGTAATTGTGCCATCGCTCGAAATCTTGAGTCTGTATGGAATACACCTGCAAATTTAAAACTTTAGAAAATCACACAAAAAGTCAACTCTTATAATGGTGAAACACATATAGATGAAACATACCCGACGACTTGACGGCGTCCCTTGTTGTATCTTTGGGATTGACGACCCGTCCGAGAGACCAAACACACCATGCTACTAGAAAAACAGAGTTCGTGAAGAATCTGAATCTAATTTTTGACTGTATAAAAGAAGAGAGAGAGATCACGGTTTTGCTTGGACGGCTAAAAGGGAAGAGGATCTGAACAAGTGTAACGAATGTTTTTGCAGGTTATGAGATCGAAGTTAAGAATTGTTTGAGAGTAGTTCATTATAAGAAAAGATTGGATAGGAATTAATGAAGTTACGATGGGGTGAGTGAAAAAAAAGATTTGGGATGAGACAAAAAGCGTTGTCTTTGCCTCCTTGCGGCTTATCCTTTTATAGAAAAACGACATATTTTCTAAACTTTTTTTGGTCTTTTTTTTTTTCTTTCTATCAACTTGTGAAAAAAATTCATTAATAACGCTTAATTTAGAATCAAGTATCAACATTAAAAAAAAAACAATTAGTGACACCATAAGGGTGAATTTTAAAAAGATGAACTATAAGAGTAGTTGAAGAAAAAATATAAATGATTTAGAAACAGAATGAATTATGTAAGTCCACACGGCTGTGGTCTAGTAGTAAGGGAGAATTGAGGAAATGTTGGAAGGAACTAACCCATGTTCGATCTATCCTAAAAACAAAAATTACATTTGTGTGGGAAGTCTGGGCTTGAGCCAAAGCTCAAGCAATTCAGATGGTATCTGGGATCAGACTAACTGGATACCCCAGATATTAGTCGGAAAGCATTCTAAATTTGGGGTTAGGCAGTGTGGTAGTCCAACACCTAGGTGTTGGAGTCTACATGATAGCACTTCATTACGTTTCCAACGGGGCTGACCGGATCAGCCGATCGGATATATCAAAAAAAAAAAAAACAGAATGAATTATGTAACAGTAATATTTTAGAAATAGAATAAATCAAAGTCGCTATCCATACGCGGCACGTTAATGTTTACACTTGAGGGACGACGACGTCATGCACCTAATACCGTCTCAATATATAATGAGACATATGGCTAAATCAAAAAAAAAAATTAAAACTTCATAGTAATTTTTAAAAAAAAAAACTTAAGCCTTTTTCTTTAATAATTTTTTAAAAATTAATATTGGATTCTTAGCATTTACCTACTTTACTTAATGGTAGAGACGGGCCTGACGTCAATCCCACCATCTAAGGACTAAAGAATCAGATCCGGCGCAGAGGCCAAGCAACTGAAGCGAGCGATTGGGGTCTCAAAATTTTAGGGCCTTTTAAACTAAAAATTTGTTAAGTTTTAGATATGTTGCAAAAGCTATAAATTTATACTTTAAGGCCTTATTAAAAAAATGATATGGGCTTTTAAAGACAAACTAATTATCTTCAACACTAAATTTTTGATTTAGTAAAAAAAAAACTCTAAACGCTGATTGAATAATAATAAAAAAAAACTGACGGTACATGATACCTCTTATGCGTGTATGTGAGTCAATTTTCTTATTTTACAAGTGAAAAATCCTATTTTTTGAGGTTAATTGTTAGTTTTGCTTATGAATTTATTGTCTTTTCTTTACAAATTTGTTTTAAAAAAGAAAGCGGCAAATCTGATAATGATTCGTTAATGGTTTTTGTAGTATATGAAAAAAGCATACTTTTTGAAGCTTTCCGTAGGGCACTCGCAAATGTCGGTCCGGCAGAACGTTTCGTTTTGATCGTAATGACAATTTTTTCATGTGTCTGCGTTTGAGTCTGTGTTCATAGCCCATCGAAAAGAGATACACTATACCGACATGGAACAATGGTTTTCACTAAATCACTAAAAGTGAAATATGTCAGTTTTTAAAAAACTTATTTAAATGACAAATACTACTATTTCCAAACCTAAACGGATATAAACAATCAATGCTGAATCTTGAAAAAATGGATGGGTACGTAGTTGCATAGAATATAGTCATACACAATTCATTTGGGGTACTTGTATGATTTGTTATCAAATGTGAAAATGTGTATAAGGTAAGGCGGGGTTACAATTTCTCATTATTATTAGGTTTCATTTTTCAGCCACTCTTTTAGAAAATTTCATCCAAAAACTATTCATTCACCAGCCCACAAGTTTATACAAGGTTTTGGTGATAAGTTTCTCTCTATATAAGACAAATCAAGAAAAATTTAACATATGAGAGTTTACCATATGTTGAAATGCTAAATATTCCGTATGACAGTAATTAAGAGTAAAAATGGTTTTAACTTAATAATTTTATATCTTCTTAGTCATGGTACGCGTTAAAAGCATGTGTTTGGAAAGTTTATTGCAACAAATATGAAATGAAAATACGTTTGTTTATTTTCAATTTCTTGTAAGTAGCTTGTAACAACTAACAACGAGATATAACCTTTTAAAACCTATTTCTACTAGTTTTCCAAATAATGTCATTTTCATAGTTACCAATTTTTTTTTTCGGTCAATCAATTTGGTCAATCTTTGAAGATCGATTGAAATGAAAAGCTTCGAAGGCCATCTTAAATGTGACCTCTGTACAAATCCATTATATGGGGATAACAAGATATTGGATGCGATAGATTCACGTCCTAGTTCAAGTACGAGCCACCTTGAGTTATGAATATACCTTGAAGGGTTTATATTATGGCTGCACCGGTTTCGACTCTTTAGTGTACATGTTTCTCGCAAGCATTGCATCAAGATCACTTTCGTCAGCATATATATATCGGATCGGAAGACATCAATTGGTTATCCGGATTTCCAATCATTCGTGGGTTGACGGGTTCTTCGATAAAACAGTATTGGAGGTAAACACTTTTTTTTTCTTCTAGCCAGCATATGTATTGTAGGCAAACCAATTTCTGAAACGCATAACTGCTATGTTGATGTTGTGTGATGTATTATTTCCGGACATAGGACTTTAATTTTGCATCATTATGATTTTTTAGTTGGGATGATAACTGTGTGCCAATAATAAGGTACTTAAAACTATTTTATTAAAAAATCAAATAATATCGTTTCTAATTGTACTTTAAAATCTGACCTTGATAAAAATCAAAATTTTTTTTGTAGGATTGATAAAAATCAATTTGAAAATGTTTTTGTTTGAATAAAAATATATATTTATTATATAATTTGAAACGAATTGACCCGACCCGGGCAGGGCAACAACAAAGTTCGACCCGACTTGTTAGCCGGAAAAGAAAAGCAAATTAGTTTTTGCCGAGAAACCCTTACCCGTATTAAACCCTTGCGACTCTCTCTTTTACTGTGAGCAGACACTTTTTGTTTTCCCTCTCCCTCTCTTCTTCTCCAATCGGATTTTGAACTTCTCTTTCTTCTTCCCGCTCTCTTCGTTTTGCGAGGGAGCCAAAATCGATCTAGGGTTTTGGTTTTCTCGCTCCCAAGAACTTCACTAGGGTTCTCTGTTTCAAAATCCGCGTTTTTTGATTTTGGATTCGTTTCAGTGTTGTTTATTCTTCCAATAAGATGTCACAAGACGATGAGATTGTGATGCGTGATGTCACGAACGCGGGACTTTGTATTGGTGACCGCATTGGCCGAGAAGCCGCATCGCAGCTCGATTTAGAAGAAGCTCTTGAAGCTTCTAGATACGCTAGTCACCCATATTCCACTCATCCCAGAGAGGTTAGCTTCAGGAACGATTCGACCTCCTTGAATTTGTTTTTTTCCCGGAAGCAATTAGCTCTTTCTTCTTTCGATTGTTGCTATTGGGTTCTCGATTTGATGAAAATTTTTAGTTAAATCGAGGTATTGGGGATGTCTAGATAGGGTTAGAGCTCGAGCTTTGTCTTATAGGTGTTTGGCTTTGTTGCAGTGGCCGCCGTTGATTGAGGTTGGTGAGACTTGGGAATTGCCTTCTGTACTCATTGAGAGGTATAATACAGCCGGCGGGGAAGGGACGGCTTTATGTGGAATTTTTCCAGAGATTCGACGGGCTTGGGCATCTGTAGACAATTCTTTGTTTTTGTGGCGTTTTGACAAAAGGTAAATTTGGCTTTTCCTTTTAGTTACAGGGGTGTTTAGAAGCTTGAGTAATTGTTCTTTGTATTGATTAATGTATGTTAATTAGGGATGGGCAGTGTCCTGAGTATAGTGGGGAGGAACAGGCAATTTGTGCGGTTGGTCTAGCGAAATGTAGACCTGGAGTTTTTGTTGAAGCTATTCAATATCTTTTGGTGCTGGCAACTCCTGTTGAGGTGACACTTTTCAATGGTCCAATCTGATCACAACTTTCTTTAGTTTTGTGTACTGTATCTGATTTTTCTTAGAAAACTTTACTTCTCATCAGTTGGTTCTTGTTGGAGTGTGCTGCACTGAAGGACCCGATGGTAGAGATCCTTATGCTGAAATTTCAGTACAGCCTCTGCCCGACTATACAATATCATCAGATGGAGTGACAATGACATGCGTAACATGTACCAATAAAGGGCGCATTTTCATGGCTGGACGTGATGGTCACGTATATGAGCTGCTATATACAACTGGCTCAGGCTGGAATAAACGTTGTCGTAAAGTTTGTCTTACTGCAGGCGTAGGTAGTATGATCTCGAGGTACACACATTCTCTTTGTCCTTTTCTTTTATCTGTTCTCTCTGCTGTTTGATTCTGAAATCTGAGATAAACCAAGCTTATAGCATTCCTTATTATATCTCTAACTCCTTATACTCGAAACAATTCCGCAATAACATATTCTTTTTGATAGTTTTTAAAACATTTATCCCCAATTCTGTTGGTTCTAGGTGGGTTGTGCCAAATGTATTCAAGTTTGGAGCTGTAGATCCTGTTGTAGAGATGGTTGTCGATAATGAAAGGCAGATTTTATATGCCCGGACTGAAGAGATGAAACTCCAAGCATATGTTTTTGGGCCAAATGGGGAAGGTCCTCTTAAGAAGGTGGCAGAAGAAAGGAATCTATTAAATCAGAAGGATGTGAGCCAAGGAAATCGTCAGTCAGCAGTGGCAGGTCGATCTAACAAGCCATCCATAGTCAGCATTTCACCATTGTCCATGCTGGAATCAAAATGGTTGCACCTTGTTGCAGCATTATCAGATGGCAGGAGGATGTATCTTTCCACCTCCTCAAGTGGAAGTGGTAGTACGATTAGCTTCAGTGGGTTCAACAACCACCGCCAGACTCCAAACTGTCTGAAAGTGGTTTCAACCAGGCCATCTCCTCCACTGGGTGTTGGTGTTGGACTTGGTTTTGGGGCCGCATCTATAGCCGGTAGAACTCAGAATGAAGACCTCTCTATGAAAATTGAAACAGCATACTATTCTGTTGGAACTCTTGTCCTTTCAGATTCATCGCCACC